GAGAGAGAGAGAGAGAGAGACAGAGAGAAAGGTCTTCCTTTTGCCGTTGGTTCACCCTCCAATGGCCGCCACAGCCGGCGCGCTGCGGCCAGCGCACCGCGCTGATCCGATGGCAGGAGCCAGGAGCCAGGTGCTTTTCCTGGTCTCCCATGGGGTGCAGGGCCCAAGCACCTGGGCCATCCTCCACTGCACTCCCTGGCCACAGCAGAGAGCTGGCCTGGAAGAGGGGCAACCGGGACAGAATCCAGCGCCCCGACCGGGACTAGAACCCGGTGTGCCGGCGCCGCTAGGTGGAGGATTAGCCTAGTGAGCCGCGGCGCCGGCCCCCAATGTATTTAATTTTTATAGTTATTATGAATAGGATTTTTCTTATAAGTTCTTTCTCATCCAGACCATTGTTGGTGTTTAAGAAATTATAGTTTTGTTTTTTGTTTTTGTTTTTTTGCGTGTGTTGACTTTATATCCTGAACCTGTGTATCCCCTTGATTTCTTTTATGACCTAATGGCTCTGGTTAAAAATTCTAGAAATATATTAAATAAAAGTAGTGAGAGTGGACATCCGTGTCTGGTTCCAGTTCTTAGTGAAAATGCTTCCACATTTTCCCTGTTCAATATGATGTGGGCTTCTTATATATTGCCTATTGTGTTGATGTGTGGTCTCTAAATAATTTTTAAGGTTTCTATTAGGAATGGGTGTTGTATTTTGTTGAATGCTTTCTATGCATCTACTTGGATGATCATATGATTTTTATCTTACATTCTGTTGATGTGATGCATCATATTTGTTGACCTGCAGATGTTGAACCATCCCTGCATCCCTGGGATAAATACCACTTCATCAGGATGGATCATCTTTTTTTTATTATTATTAAAGACTTATTTATGGGGCCAGTGCTGTGGCGTAGTGGGTTAAGCTGCCTCCTGTAGCACTGGCATCCCCTGTGAGTGCCACTTTGAGTCTTGGCTTCTTCACTTCCAATCCAGCTCCCTCCTAATGCTCCTGGGAAAGCATTGGAAGATGGCCCAAGTCCTTGGGCCCCTGCACCCACATGGGAGACCCGGATGAAGCTCCTGGCTCATTGCTTTCGTCTGGCCCAGCCCTGGCCGTTGTGGCCATTTGGGGAGTGAAGCAGCAGATGGAAGACTTCTCTGTCTATCTGCTTCTGCCTCTCCCTCTCTGTAGCTCCACCTTTGAAATGAGTAAGTAAATCTTTAAAATACACTTGAAAGGCAGTTACAGAGAGTGATCTTACATCTGCTGGCTTACTCCTCGATGTGGTTAAACTGTGCCAAAATAGCCAGGACTGGAAAAAGCCAAAGCCAGGAGCCAATAGCTTTGTCCAGGTCTCCCACGTGAATGCAGGAGTCCCAACACTGGGGCCATGTTCTGCTGCTTTTCCAGGTGCATTAGCAGGGAGCTGGATCAGAAGTGGAGCAGCTGGGACTCACACCAGCACCCGTGTGTGATGCTGGCATCACAGGTGGCAGCTTAGCCTGCTAGACCACAGTGCCTGCCCCTGGATGATCTTTTTGATGTGTGGTGATTTTTGCATCTATGTTCATCAAGGATATTGGTCTATAGTTCTTTTGCTGTTGTATCCTTATCTGATTTGGGAATTAAGGTAACACTGGCCTCACAGAATGAATCTGGAAGTGTTCCCCTCCATTTTAATTGTTTGGAATAGTTTGGGAGGAATTGGTGTTGGTTCTTCATTAAAAGTTTGGTGGAATTCAGCGGGGATGCCATCAGGTCCAGGGCTTTCTTTGGTGGGAGACTCTTCATTATTGATTTAGTTTCATCATTGGTCATTGGTCTGCTTAGTTGTTTTTTTTTTTATGTCTTTGTGACTCAATTTTGGTGAATTACATGTGTCCAGAAATATATTTATCTATTTCTTCTAGGTTTCCAATTTGTTGGTTTCTAGTTCTTCACGATAGTCCCTAATGACCCTTTGTATTTCTGGGATGTCAGATATCAGTTGTTACATATCCCTTTTCATCTCTGATTCTGTATTTTAATAATTAAAAAAAGATTTTGTATATTTATTTGAAAAAGAGAGAGAGGTGGTGGGGGTGGGTTCCATCCACTGGTTTACTCCTCATATGGCCACAACATCCAGGGTTGAGCCAGGCCTAAGCCAGGAGCCTGGAACTCCATTTGAGTTTCCCAGATGGGAGGTAAGGACCCAAGTAATTGGGTCATCTGCTGCCGCCTTCCCAGGCTCATTCTCAGGAGGGCTGGACTGGGAGCAGAACAGCCTGGACTTGAACTGGTGCTCCAGTGTACGAGGCCAGCATTGCAGGCAGCGGTCTAACCACCTGACCACAGCGCTGGCCTCATCCCTGATTTCATTGATTTGAATGTTCTCACTTTTTCTTGGTTAATCTGGCTAGTGGCTTAATCAGTTTTGATTATCTTTTTGAAAAGCTAGCTCTTGATTTCACTGATCTTTTGTAATTTTAAAATTTCTATTTTGTCTATTTTTAAGTGTCTTTCCTTGTACTAGTTTTGAGTATGGTTTTCTCTGGTTCTTCTAGGCCCTTGAATTAAATTATTTATTTGATACCTTTCCTTTTTTTTTTTTTTTTTTTTTTTTGACAGGCAGAGTGGACAGTGAGAGAGAGACAGAGAGACAAAGGTCTTCCTTTGCCGTTGGTTCACCCTCCAATGGCCGCCGCTGCAGCCGGCGCACCACGCTGATCCGATGGCAGGAGCCAGGATCCAGGTGCTTTTCCTGGTCTCCCATGGGGTGCAGGGCCCAAGCACCTGGGCCATCCTCCACTGCACTCCCTGGCCATAGCAGAGAGCTGGCCTGGAAGAGGGGCAACCGGGACAGAATCCGGCGCCCCAACCGGGACTAGAACCCGGTGTGCCGGCGCCGCAAGGTGGAGGATTAGCCTATTGAGCCACGGCGCCGGCCCCCAACCTTTCCATTTTTTAATGTAGGCACTTAATGCTATAAACTTTCCTCTCACCACAGCTTTTGCTTTGAGCCATAAGTTTTGATCTGTTGCCTTCCCATGTTCATTAGCTTCAAAGAATTTTTAAACTTCCTTTTTGATTTCTTCAATGACCCACTGTTCATTCAGGAGCGTGTCTCCCAAGTGAAGTAGGCAGTTACAGAAAATATATGTGTGGGATACAAATGAGCAGACTGTCTCCACCATAAGAGTCTGCAGTCCAGGTGGGGTGGATGAATCACGGTGAGTGCGTTATTTCAAATGCTGACACAGGCTGAGTTGTGAGGTGCACACTAGAGCAAGTCCAGAGATCCGAGAGGTTGCCTGCTGGGTCGTGGTTGACCTTGGGTCCAGGTGGGGATTTCACAGTGGGATCACAGTAGCGGAGAAGGCACTTCCACCTCTGTCCACAAAGTCAAGAGTGTTTGTGGGTCATATGGGTCCCAGTGAAGCTCAAGTTCATGAGCCACCTGGACTTGGGTTTACTGAGTGAAGACTGCAGGTGTCCCCATGCTGTTCACTGTCTTCTGCCTGTGCAGTGGGGTGGGTAGGTGGGCACGGGGCCCCATGGGGTGGGGGTGTCTCTCACCAGGTGTGTCCTGCAGGAATCACAGCTCTCCGGCACTTGGATCTGGGGGGTGATGTAGCATCGTGTGGTTTTGTTTTTCTCAAGGCTGTGCTGGGTGTTCCAGCCTGGTGCTCTGTGAGAGACGTGCCTGACTTCAGAGCTGACTTCAGTGATGGCGATCCTGGGTGTTGGATTTGCCTCTTGTTTTGCTTTTGTCTACCTCTGGCTCCTTAGAGATGAGTTTGGAGTCCAGAGTCCAAGTTCTCTGCCATAATCCCAGTAGCATGGCACCTAAACAGCACTGTTAGGTCTTTTTTTTAAAGATTTATTTATTTATTTGAAAGGCTAAGTTACAGAGAGGCAGAGGCAGAGGCACACACACACACACACACACACACACAGAGAGAGAGAGAGAGAGAGAGAGAGAGAGAGAGAGAGAGATCTTCCATCTGCTAGTTCACTCCCTAAATGGCTGCAGCAGCCAGAGCTGTGCCGATCCGCAGGCAGGAGCCTGGAGTTTCTTCCGAGTCTCCCACACAGGTACAGGGGCCCAAGGTCCTGGGCCATCTTCTACTGTTGTCCTGGGCCATAGCAGGGAGCTGGATGGGAAGTGGAGCAGCCGGGACTTGAACCGGCACCCATATGGGATACCAGCACTGCAGTCAGCAGCTTTACCTGCTATGCCACAGTGCCAGACCGTGCTTTATTATCTTCTAAAGAGGAGATGGCTGGGTCAGGGTGGGGAGGGGGGGACCAGCAGGAGCTTGAGGAAAGGGAGAGGTTAGGGAACCCCACCAGCTGCTTCCTGTTCCTTTTGGGTTTCTTCAGCACCTTCCACAGTAGAAGTGAGAGGTTCGGGGCCAGCGCGGTGGCTCACTTGGTTAATCCTCCACCTGCGGCACCAGCATCCCATGTGGGTGCCAGGTTCTAAACCCAGTTGCTCCCCTTCCAGTCCAGCTCTCTGCTGTGGCCTGGGAGGGCAGTGGAGGATGGCCCAAGTGCTTGGGCCCCTGCACCTGCGTGGGAGACCAGGAGAAGCACCTGGCTCCTGGCTTCAGATTAGTGTAGCTCCAGCCATAGCAGCCATTTGGGGGCTGAACTAACAGAGGGAAGACATTTCTCTCTGTCTCTCTCTCTCTCTGTCTAACTCTATCTGTCAAATAAATTAAAAAAAAAAAAACTGAGAGTTTCAAACAGCAATAGGGATGTCTCTGTCTCTAGTTTGCTTTTGACTCTGAGGGGAGAGGTGGCAAATGTCTTTTACTTTCTACCTCGACTTTGACTCATTGCTAATGACTGCCCAGAGGACCGTGATGAGACAGTTAGGGCCTGAGACTGCGGTGCAGTGGGTTAAGCGGCCATGTCATTGCCATAATGGTGTGCCAGCCCTCCACTTCTAATCCTGCCTTGTGCTAATGCATTCTGGGAAACAGAGGGTAATGGCTCAAGTATTTGGGTCCCTCTCCCCAAGGTCTGTGGCTTTTCCACTCTGGAACTCACACAGTGACCTGGGACTCCCGGCTGCAGCCCGAGACCAAGAAGAACCCGGCGGCTGCTGGGTCTCGGGTCCAGGGTCCTGCAGACTTGGTCTGTGCCTGCTCCCAGCTCTCCTGGTTTCCTGCTTGGCAGACGGCCGCCCCTGGGACTTGGCAGCTGCCGTCACAGGTGAGCCCTACCCATGACAGACCCCTTCTGTGGCACCACTCTCTTGCGCCGTGTGTTTGGCTCCCGGGGAACCATGGCTGGACCGGATTCTGAATCCTCTGGGGACCTTGCTGGGCACACATGTGCCAGAGAGGCGGGGCTGGGGTTTCTGTGGTTCTGGAGTCTCCCAGGTGGGTGGGGGCGAGGACCTCAGTCAGGCGTCCTCAGAGCCTCTGTGGATCCCTGCTCTTGACCGTGAGAACCAAGAGGGCCCACGTGGCTGTGTGGACAGAGACCGGGAGCTGCCCCTTGCACAGCCAGCTGTACATTAACAGGGCCATGGTAGTGGGAGGCTCCTCCCACATCCCTCTGGGATTAGAACCACCTGCTGGCTGGAAGCCACGGAGTCCTGGGTATCACCATAAACAGAAGCAGGTGTTAAATATCAGGAATATTTTATATTGACTTGCCTGGGTCCCAGGAAAGGTTAAGCTTGGGCCTTGTTTAGTGTGGAGGATTTCATGGGTGTGAGTTGGGGCACAGCTAGGTTCAGGCCTGGGGCTCTGGGTGTCCTCTAGGGGTAGGGGTGCAGGACCTCTGATTAGGCCCCCAGGTTGTTTCTGCCTTGATACAGCCCTGTCCACATGGAAACCCACACGTGGACTTGGGGAGGTCTCAGGAGAACAGGTGCCTGCCGGGTTCAAGGTCCAGTCCAGAACAAGGGAAGGCCCCGGAGTGAGCTCTGGGCTGAGCTGGTGGCCCGGGTGCTTGTGACTCCTCAACCCAGTGCTGGCAGGAGGGGCCAGGGCCACGGGCAGAAGAGAGATGGAGGGAGAAGGGGCTTCCTGGGGGCCCTGTGGGTTCTGACGGAGGAGTGTGGTCCCACCCTAGCAGGCTGCAGCTCCCCCAGGGTGGGAGCAGACACAGCACCGCCCTGGCTGACTCTGCCCCCACCCCACCCCCGGGTCCTCATCTCCAGAGGGGCAGCCCCGGCCTCTGCCAGCACCTGCTCCTGTGTGCAGGAAACTGCTCAGCGCAGGAACACCTGGGCCTGAGGCGTCCGTGACCAGGAGTGGGGAGCCCAGCACCCGGAGTCCAAGTGCCTGTGAGGGCTCGGGGAATCTGGAAAGGAGCACGGGGGCTGTCACGTTCATGGGGGTTCCCTGCTTTATTTCAGCTGGGGGAGGCCCCCAGCAGTCGTGCTCACCACCTGCAGGAAACGCCAGACCCGAGCCGGCCCTGCCAGCGTCGGATCCTGCAGTCTACAGCGATGCTGGCCCCTGCAGAGACACGGCCCTGTCCGTCAGTGAGGAGGCGCTGGCAGCACCTCCACCGCTCCTGCGGGTTGGGGTTGGCCCTCCAGCCCTGAGGCACACCTGTGGCTGTGGTGTGGGGGCGTGGCCCAGACCCCCCAGGCCCTGGCCCATGAGGAGGACAAGGCAGACAGACCCGGTGCTGCACAGCGCCTCCAGGAGCAGAGGAGCAGTGGATGTGGGTGGGGCACCTCCCGCTGCTCACCACGGAGCCCCCAGGGCAGCTCTGTGCACCCCTGTCACTGCTCAAAGCTCACTCCAAAGGCAGAGCTCAGCCCAGGCAGGCAGCAAGGCTGCATGGCCCCCAACACGGCCCCACTGCTCTTGAGCCTCAACAGCCAATGGCCAGTGACAGCTCTGCAGGTGGCAGAACAAGTCTGAGTCAGCGACGGAACCCACAGCAGGTGCACCTGCAGGGACACCACCACCTGCCATCAGGGTCACCATCCTGTGACAGCCTGCGGGGACAGACGCTCAGCAGCTGACCTACCACAGGGTGACCGCAGAAGCTGGACTCGCCTGCCCTCGGCAGTGACCTCATCCCAAGAGGCACAGCCGCCTCTGCCCGTGAGCCCCTCCAGGAGGCTGGAGCAGGGGAAGAACAGGGCCAACCGTGGTCACAGCCCTGGGCACTGACCAGGCCACCAGGGAGGGATCTGCTGCCACCTCTGCCCCTGGTCTTTGCACCCAGCGAGTTAGAACTTCAGAGTGGGCGTGTGTAAGGGAGGACACTGCACCGTGTCTGTGGTTGGGGGAGATTGGAGCCCTGGGGCTGTCCCTGTCAGGAGGGTGGCAGACGCTCACTGGCCATCAGGAGCAGAGTTGGGCCTTCCAGTGGTAAAGGGACTCGGGCGAGGGACGTTGGGCTCCTGGGTCAGGGTTCTGTCCTCACATCTGGCACCAGGTCTCCAGGCCATGTCCATCCCTGATGTCAGGCCCAAGGGCATGGGCAGCCCGAATGCAGGGCCCAAGGCTCAGGGAGGCAGGGTACCAGGCCCCAGGTTGCCCTGGGACCTGGATGCATGTGGTGAGCGCCCCCTGCTGGGGCCCTGGAGAGGTGCTGTTGGGCAGTGCTGAGTGCAGGCCCAGGAGGGAGCAGGCACTGCTGAGCTGCCCTTCTTGGCCCCTGCTCTGTGCCTCTCTGTCCTCCCCTGGGGGAGGGCCTGAGCTGAATTTGGGGCTCTCTCTCCACTTCTCTGTCCTCAGGGGGACCCAGGAGCAGCCAGGCCGGGAGCACCTGACACTCCCTGTGCCCCCTACTGTCCCTCCCACAGGGAACCCCAGTGGTCGCTCGTGGCCATCTTCCCTTTCCTGGCCTATGGGCTCCACCCCAGGCTGGGACTCCAGCCTCCCTGGGTGTCCCATATTGATCCCATATTGAGCTGACCACCCCCCACACTGGGAAATGGTGGTGGTCATCCTGCCTCCCAGGCTGGGGCCAGAATGAGTGAGGTTATGGCTGCGAAGCTCCCAGCAGTGGACAAGACCATAGGGGAGTCCTCAGGGCAGACAGAGGCTGTGCTGGGGGCTCCCCTGAGATCCGGGACACCAGGACCTGCAGGAGCCCCCTGCAGCCTCTGTAGGAAAAGGACTCCCCACCAGGTTGCACACTGGTAGCCTGTGGGATGGCCCAGGTCAGTCACGTTTGCTGGGGCTCCTGCTGTGCAGAGTTTGTGGTGCTAACACAGGGACCTTCTCTGTCTCCCTCTCTCTGTCCTTCTCCATCTGCCTTCGAATAAATAAATAAATCCCCTTTAAAAAAAAAAAGTGGAGCAGCTGGGACATGAGCAGACATTCGTACCGACGCAGACCCCGTGAGCCGTGGCTTTACAGCTCCATCACAGCACCGCTGACTTGAGTGACAGAACATTTTATGTAGCGTCGTGATGCCAGTGACCTGCACCATGGTTTGAGGCGATCATTCAGGGGATGAAGAGAAAGCAGTGGATATTCTGAGTCTTCAAAAGGCAAATGTTATTAAAGATGTTAATCCAAGAATGAAAACGTTTTGAAATAGCCTACAGGGTTTAATTTCTCAAAACACTAATATCACTCTCTTCAACCCAAGAAAGAACTGTGCAGTCTCACTCAAGTGGAAAGGTTCCTGTGCAAACCAGCAGAGGGCAGCACCGGCTGCGGTTTCCTGCTCTGACATCAGAAGGCGCCATTGTGACGTCATGCCCGCTGCCAACACAAAGCCTTGGCTTGGCCTGGGTTCTGTCATTTGCCCAGGGAGCGCTGTCCCGGTGACCTGGGGCTGGGAACAGCTGCCTTTGTTTCCTTTCCCTTGTTTGGTTTTTGTTCCTCCTGCTGCTGTTGTTTTGGTCAAATTTGTTTTTTCTTTTTCCGTTTTGATTATTTTTCTTTTTTTTTCTATTTTGTTTATTTTGATTTCCTCCAGCATTCATAGTCTTTTTCCCTTTCTTATTGATTGTCCTAGGATATTTCATTTCCATTTGGATTTTTCTTCACTTTTTTTTTTTTTTTTTTGCTTTCCCCTAGTTTGTGGTTGTTCTTTACATTTTCTCCCATTGTTGGGTTTACATTTTTTCACTTTCAGTTTTTTTCCTCATTTTGATTCCTTTTTTTAAAATAAGACTGTGAGACCATCTGCTTTGGTTGTTATTACAGTTCAGGTTCTTGGAATTTTTTCTTTATAGTTTATTATTCATTTATTTTTGTGTTTCCTCACTTTTAACTGCTTTTAGGGTTAGCCTCAGTTGTGAGTCTGTTGAATTCATTTAGTTCATGTTTTCTGTTGGTGATGTGAGCTGACTTTGTCCATTTTGTGTTTTGATTTCTGTTCATTTCATTTCTGTTGGTTTCATTTTTGTTTGTGCTCAAGGAGTCAGAGCCGGGAGAGCTGATCTGTGTCAGCTGCTGGCTCGGGGTCTCCCAGACGTCAGCCCTGCTTGACCCTTCCTGGGGGAGCCCTGGAGAGGGAGAGGAATCCGGAGGAAGAATCGGATCCTGCTCCTGCCATTTTGGTCAAATTTGTTTTTCTTTTCCATTTTGATGAATTTGTACTTTTTCTATTTTACTTTGTTTCCTGCCACCATTCACATTCATTTTGTGTTTTCTCATTTAACATTTTATTCCACAGAGCAGTCTCCGTGGTTGGTCTGGTGTAGTTGATACAGTTCATGTTTTCTGTTGGTAACGGGAGCAGAGTGAGTTTGTTCATTTTGTGTTTTGATTTCTGTTCATTTGATTTCTGTCGTTACATTTTCATTTGTGCACCACTCGTCTCCCTTCCTGGGAGCCCCGGGAGAGGGAGCAGAATCCCGAGGCCAGAGTCGCATCCTGGATGGGGACTTCATGGGGCGGGACTGACTGCCGGTCCCCCAAGCCCTCTGTGTCCCCAGTGGCTCCCGCGTCCCTCAGCAGAGCGGGGCAGGAGGTGTCCATGGCGGCTCCTGGGGCCCGAGCTGAGAAGGCTGTCAGGTGGGACAGGGGCTGTCTGCATGGGGGCAGGAGAAAGGGTTGTCACTGCGAGATGGAGCCTGCGGGGGTCTTTCAGCTTTGGCGCCTCTGTCTGCAGGGCAGGGGCAATGGCAGTGCGGGCCCCTCTGTCCTGTGCACAGGGGCTCTGCTGTCCTGTCTGCGGTGGCTCTACAAGGTTCAAGACCAAAGAATCCCAGAAACTCGATCTGCACCAGCAAGAAGACTTCCTGTGGAAGGACCTCTTGGTGGTAAGGGACTCACCCACAGGGGGTGGGGTCACCCCAGACAGCCAGGGTGTCCATTGCCTTTGCATCTGTGTGCAGGAATGGAGCAGGTGCATGGGAGGGGGTGGGACTCACACCGATGCCCATGGCCCTCATGGGTCGGGGGAGAGTGAGAGGGGCTGTGGGCTTCACCCCTGCAGTCTCTGGAGGCTCCAGCAGCAGCAGCCATACTCCGCTTTGCTGTCTGTGCCCCTCAGCAGCGTGGGCGCTGGCTGTGTGCAGCTCTGTACTCGGGTCTAAGGAGGGGAAGAGACCGTGGCAGATCCGGGCTGGATGGACTCTGAGACACCCAGCTTTGGATTCCTTGCCCTTCCTGTACAGGTTTCAAATGTCCCTTGTACTCGCAGCCCCAAGGACAGGACCCCGTGGCTTCTCTGGCTGCCCCCAGGTCACCACGATCGTCCACCGGGAGATGGACTCCGAGACACCCAGCTTCGGAATCCTCGCCCTTCCAGAAAAGGGGTTGAATGTCCCCTATCCTCGGTGCCACAAGGAGAGGACCACTTGCCTCTCTAGCTGCCCTCAGGTCACCACAATCATCCTCAGGAAGATGGATTCCAATTCGCCCAGCTTCAGAACCCTCGCCCTTCCAGAAGAGGTGTTGAATGTCCCTCGTCCTCGCTGCCCCAAGGACAGGACCCCGTGGCTTCTCTGGCTGCCCCCAGGTCACCACGATCGTCCATCCCCAGGAGATGTAATCGGAGATGCCCAGCTTCAGAATCCTCGCCCTTCCAGAAGAGGTGTTGATGTCCCTCGTCCTCGCTGCCCCAAGGACAGGACCCCGTGGCTGCTCCGTCCCGGGGAGCAGCTGCTGCCTGGGAAGAACTTCGTTGCCTCTGTTGGTGCCCAGGGATTGCCCTGCTCTACTGCCTCTGTGCCTGCAATGAACAGATTCATGAGTTTAACAGAAACCAGTTAGGTGAATAAATTGTGGATGGAAAAGCATCAAGGACTTAGCGCCAGTGATGGGCACCTGTGCTCACACGCGGGGAGCGGAGCGCTGGAGCCTGGAGGAGGCAGATTGGAGCCGTGCCCGGGGCCTGGGCTGAGTCCCGGCTCCAGTGCCCACGCCTGCCACTGCCTTGGTTTCCCACCCCCTGGGGCTCTGTTTCTGGCTCTCTCAAGGGGGTGTGAGTGACAGGAGCACCTGCCTCCAAGGAAGCCCCCAGAACAGCACCAGACTCCCCTGGCTGCTGGGTAGGGCTGGGTCCTTAGAGGCGATTGGCTGCCTGGGTGGGGTTCTGGGAGCTGTCAGCGTCTGTGGGTCCCGGGCTGCGGGGGAGCTGGCTCCTTCCTGTGACCCCACTGGCCTTTCCTTTGTCCTTGCCCTTCTCTTTGCCTCTCTGTCCTTCCCCTCTTGGAGGTCCCAAGCCTGATTTAGGGCTCTCTCTCCCCTTCTTTGGCCTCAGCGAGACATACGAGCAGCCAGGACGAGGGCACCTGCACCTCCCTGTGCCCCTCCTCCTCCCCTGCACACAGGGAGCCCCCGCGGCCTGCTCTAAGCCATCTTGCCTTCCCCGACACTTCTCCAGCCCAGTCAGGAGTGCTGCCTCTTCCAGGCGTCCCACATCCCGTATGGACCTGACCCACAGCCCCCATATTAGGTAATGGTGGTGGTCATCCTGCCTCCCAGGGCTGGGGCCAGAGTGAGTGAGGTTATGGCTGCGAAGCTCCCAGCCGTGGACCAAGAACATAGAAGAGTCCTGAGGGAAGCGGCTGTGCTGGGGTCTCCCCAGAGATCCGGGACACCAGGAACAGGCAGGATGCACCCACACACCAGGCTGCAAACTGGCAGCCTGGGGGACTGTCGCAGCTCAGTTAAGTTTGCTGTGGTTTGTGCTGTGTGCAAAGTTGTGGTGCTGATGCTGAGACCTTCAATCACACGGAGCTGTCGGGGCTTCTCCGGGCACAGGGGGAGGTGTGGCAGCACCAGGCTCCGGGGTCTGTGGCCGCGGTGGCTGCATGTGCTCAGACACGCACCGCCCTCTGCAGGTGCCCGCAGCCCCCCTGGTGGGGCGAACCTGGAGTTGGAGTTTCAGCCGGGAACCTGTCCACGCGCAGAGTCTCATACTGGGCCAGGCGACTCCCACACACAGAGCCGCGCTGCTGGGGAATCAGAGCCCCGACCCCACAGTCCTCGGGGGCACAGGGGAGCCTGGACATAGGGTGCTTGGTAGTGGGTGCCCAAAGTGCACCCCAAGCAGCACTCAGACAGAAGGGTCTTTAGTGTTTGGGACAGTACAGAAGGCTGAAGGTCACTGCTTAAGATCCCACCACTGCTGCAGCTCAGGTCACAGCCTCTGTCCCCATCCGGGCACAGACACCAGGCAGAGTGATCCAGGGTCGTGGGGGAGGGGCCCAGTGTCCCTGATCTTCAGTGGTTCAGGGCTCCCTGGGGACGTCCATCCGCAGGCCCCTCCTTCTCCTGTGTGTGCAGGGAGAGTGAGTTCTGGCATCTGGATGCCCACGTGACAGTCTGCCTGTGTGCCCTTCCCTGACACCAGGGAGGCAGAGCAATCCCCCCCAACCCGGGACAGGGCGGGGGGGTGTGTGCTCAGGCTCCAGGTCCAGGGCTGCCGCCCCTCCCCCACTGCCTCCCTGGCTCCCTGTGGAGGGGGCCTCTGCCTCAGGCTCAGCTTGCATTTCACAGCCTCAGCCCCACCCCTGCAGACCTGGGCTGTGGGCATGGGCCCCTCCTTCACAAACAGGGAAACTGAGGCCAAGATGAAGAGCCAGGCCCCTCCCCAGTGAGCGGTTCCTCCCAGGCCCAGGTGGCTGCTGATTCCTGCCCCACACAGGGAGCAGCTGGGGCAGAGCCGGGGCGTCAGCACCCGGGAGCAGCTGCCAGCCCTGGGCCCAGGGCCTCAGTGTGGAGGAGACAGCTCCACCTGTGACAGAGGAACGTCCTTAGGCCAGTGCATGGAGTGGAGTGTATCTGAGAAGAGCATCGTACAACAACGATGATACAAGAACCAGGCAGCTCCGGACACGGAGCAGGTTCTGAGGTGGCTCATCCACGACAGGTGCACAGCACTGCTGGACACGGGAAGTGGGTGCCGAGATCAGCGCCATGGCCCCACGCAGTGCCCACAGCTGCAGGGCGGCCACGGCTGAACTAGTTAATTACTCACAGCCTAAGTAGTGACCTGGCTACGGGGCCTTGTGCTGCAGCCACAGCACAGTGCCAGGATGAAGCTGTCTGCGTTGGGTGTTGGCCCAGTGCATGTGTCTGGTCCACGTCTTCCTGTGAATTTTATTTAGCACCTGGTAAGGCTTCCCGTGACGTCATTCTTCTGACTAGAGGTAGAAGTGAGGTGGCTGGGTGACGTTTCAATGGAATTACCAACGTCCGAGTGCAAAGACTTGTTTTAGGATCTTGGTGCTGCGGCTCCCTGTTGACCCGGCCACTGAGCTGGGACGGTTGTTCGGGCGCTGCCAATGAGGATACCCGGAGAGGCAGGGGGCGCCCAGCCCAGGGTGGAGCCTCAGAGCCTCTGCTCCTGCTGAGCCCGCCCCTCTCCTGCCCCCAAGATGGGAAAGACTGAGCGACCCGGGTGAGTTTTGGTGGAGCCCAGATGAGTGGGTCATCACCGTGGGGGTCCGCCCTTGCCGTGGGCAGCACCACCCAGCCCACCCAGAACTCAGAGAGAACAGGGCCGCAGGGCAGGGGCGAGCTCGGGGCTCTCATGGAGCCTGCGTGTCTCAGTGCTCCCCCTCAGGGCTCAGAGCCCCCGGTGCTGTGGCTTTTCCACTCCGGAACTCCCACCCGTGATCCTGGGACTCCCAGCTGCAGCCCGAGACCGAGAAGAACCCGGTTGACCTGGGTCCTGGGTCCTGGGTCCTGTGGACTCGGTCTGCACCCGCTCCCAGCTCTCCTGGTTTTCTGCTGGGCAGACAGCCGCCCCGAGACTTGGCAGACACCAGCGCAGGTGACCCCTCCCCCTGACAGACCCCTTCCCCTGCACCACTCTCTTGTGCGTGAATTGGCTTCCAGGGAACCCTGGCTGGAAGAGATTCTGAGTCCTCTGGGGACCGTACTGGGTGCACAGGTGCGAGAGAGGCGGGGGCTGGGATTTCTGTGTTCTGGAAGCTTCCATGTGGGGCAGGGGACAAGGACCACAGTCAGGCATCCTCTGAGCACTCTGCTGATCCCGGCTGTGGACCCTGAGAACCAAGAGGGCCCCCGTGGCTGTGTGGACAGAGACCCGGAAGCTGCCCCTTGCACAGGCGTCCACTGAGCAGCTGCATACTGATGGGGCCATGGGCGCTGAGTGGCGTCTCCCACACTCGCCCTGGGATTCGAAACACCTGCTGGCTGGAAGATAGCGCGTTCTGGGCATCTCCCTGGGGAGATTCAGGTGTTCAATATCAGGAATAGTTTGTACTGACTTGCCTGGGTCCCAGGGAATGTTGAGCCTGGGCCTGCATTAGTGTGGGGATTTTGTGAGACGGGAGTTTGGGCAGAGCTAGGAGCAAGCCTGGAGCTGAGGGTGTCCTCTTCAGGCTGGCTGCAGGACCTCTGACTAGGCCCCCAGTTCTGCCTTACCAAAGCCCAGTGCTCTGTGACAACCACGTGGACGTGGGGAGGTCTCAGGAGAACGGGTGCCTGCTGGGTACAAGGTGCAGGGCCAGCCCGCGGGAAGGCCTCAGGGTGAGCTCTGGGCTGAGCAGGTGGCCCAGATTCTTGTGATCCAGTGCCCAGGCTGGCAGCAGGGGCCAGGGCACGGGCAGCAGAGAGGGAGGAGAAGGGGCTTCCTGGGGGTCCTGTGGGCTCTGCTCTGGCTGTGGGAGTGTGGTCCTGCCCTAGCAGGCTGCAGCTCCCCCAGGGTGGGAGCAGACACAGCACCGCCCTGGCTGACTCTGCCCCTCCTCACCCCCGTATCCTCATCTCCAGAGGGGCAGCCCCGGCCTCTGCCAGCACCTGCTCCTGTGTGCAGGAAACTGCTCAGCCCAAGGGACACCTGGGCCCGAGGAGTCCGTGACCAGGAGTGGGGACCCAGCACCCAGGGTCCCAGTGCCTGTGAGGGCTCCGGGGAATCTGGAAAGGAGCACGGGGGCTGTCACGTTCATGGGGGTTCCCTGCTTTATTTCATTCAGGGAAGGCCCCCAGCAGTCATGCTCAACGCCTGCAGGAAGCGCCGGGACCCGAGCCGGCCCTGCCAGCATCGGATCCTGCAGTCTGCACGCGATGCCGGCCCCTGCAGCGACATGGCCCTGTCCGTCAGTGAGGAGGCGCTGGCAGCACCTCCACCGCTCCTGCGGGTTGGGGTTGGCCCTCCAGCCCTGAGGCAGACCTGTGGCTGTGGCAGGGGGCGTGGCCCAGACCCCCAGGCCCTGGCCCATGAGGAAGACAAGGCAGACAGACCCGGTGCTGCACAGCGCCTCCAGGAGTAGCAGGAGCAGTGGATGTGGGTGGGGCACCTCCCGCTGTTCACCTCGGATCCCCCAGGGCAGCTCTGTGCACCCCTGTCACTGCTCAAAACTCACTCCAAAGGCAGAGCTCAGCCCAGGCAGGCGGCAAGGCTGCATGGCCCCCACCACGGCCCCACTGCTCTTGAGCCTCAATAGCCAATGGCCAGTGACAGCTCTGCAGGTGGCAGAACAAGTCTGAGTCAGGGACGGAACCCTCAGCAGGTGCACCTGCAGGGACACCACCACCTGCCATCAGGGTCACCGTCCTGTGACAGCCTGCGGGGACAGACGCTCAGCAGCTGACCTACCACAGGGTGACCGCAGAAGCTGGACTCGCCTGCCCTCGGCAGTGACCTCATCCAAGATGCACAGCCGCCTCTGCCTGTGAGCGCCCCTCCAGGAGGCTGGAGCAGGGGAAGAACAGGGCCAACCGTGGTCACAGCCCTGGGCACTGACCAGGCCACCAGGGAGGAGATCTGCTGCCACCTCTGCCCCTGGTCTTTGCACCCAGCGAGTTAGAACTTCAGAGTGGGCGTGTGTAAGGGAGGACACTGCACCGTGTCTGTGGTTGGGGGAGATTGGAGCCCTGGGGCTGTCCCTGTCAGGAGGGTGGCAGACGCTCACTGGCCATCAGGAGCAGAGTTGGGCCTTCCAGTGGTAAAGGGACTCGGGCGAGGGACGTTGGGCTCCTGGGTCAGGGTTCTGTCCTCACATCTGGCACCAGGTCTCCAGGCCATGTCCATCCCTGATGTCAGGCCCAAGGGCAGGGGCAGCCCAAATGCAGGGCCCAAGGCTCAGGGAGGCAGAGTACCAGGCCCCAGGTTGCCCTGGGACCTGGATGCATGTGGTGAGCGCCCCCTGCTGGGGCCCTGGAGAGGTGCTGTTGGGAGGTGCTGAGTGCAGGCCCAGGAGGGAGCAGGCACTGCTGAGCTGCCCTTCTTGGCCCCTGCTCTGTGCCTCTCTGTCCTCCCCTGGGGGAGGGCCTGAGCTGAATCTGGGGCTCTCTCTCCACTTCTCTGTCTTCAGGGGGACCCAGGAGCAGCCAGGCCGGGAGCACCTGACACTCCCTGTGCCCCCTACTGTCCCTCCCACAGGGAACCCCAGTGGTCGCTCGTGGCCATCTTCCCTTTCCTGGCCTATGGGCTCCACCCCAGGCTGGGACTCCAGCCTCCCTGGGTGTCCCATATTGATCCCATATTGAGCTGACCACCCCCCACACTGGGAAATGGTGGTGGTCATCCTGCCTCCCAGGCTGGGGCCAGAATGAGTGAGGTTATGGCTGCGAAGCTCCCAGCAGTGGACAAGACCATAGGGGAGTCCTCAGGGCAGACAGAGGCTGTGCTGGGGGCTCCCCTGAGATCCGGGGCACCAGGACCTGCAGGAGCCCCCCTGCAGCCTCTGTAGGAAAAGGACTCCCCACCTGGTTGCAAACTGTAGCCTGTGGGATGGCCCAGGTCAGTCATGTTTGCTGGGGCTCCTGCTGTGCAGAGTTTGTGGTGCTAACACGGGGACCTTCTCTGTCTCCCTCTCTCTGTCCTTCTCTCTCTGCCTTCGAATAAATAAATAAATCCCTTTAAAAAAAAAAAAAAGTGGAGCAGCTGGGACATGAGCAGACACTCACACGGGACGCAGGCCCCGTGAGCCGTGGCTTTACAGCTCCGTCACAGCACCGCTGACTTGAGTGACAGAACATTTTATGTAGCGTCGTGATGCCAGTGACCTGCACCATGGTTTGCGAGCGATCATTCAGGGGATGAAGAGAAAGCAGTGGATATTCTGAGTCTTCAAAAGGCAAATGTTATTAAAGATGTTAATCCAAGAATGAAAACGTTTTGAAATAGCCTACAGGGTTTAATTTCTCAAAACACTAATATCACTCTCTTCAACCCAAGAAAGAATTGTGCAGTCTTTGTCTCACTCAAGTGGAAAGGTTCCTGTGCAAACCAGCAGAGGGCAGCACCGGCTGCGGTTTCCTGCTCTGACATCAGAAGGCGCCATTGTGACGTCATGCCCGCTGCCAGCACAAAGCCTTGGCTGGGCCTGGGTTCTGTCATTTGCCCAGGGAGCGCTGTCCCGGTGACCTGGGGCTGGGAACAGCTGCCTGTTTCCCTTGTTTGGTTTTTGTTCCTCCTGCTGCTGTTGTTTTGGTCAAATTTGTTTTTTCTTTTTCCGTTTTGATTATTTTGCTCGTTTTTTTCTATTTTGTTTATTTTGATTTCCTCCAGCATTCATAGTCTTTTTCCCTTTCTTATTGATTTTCCTAGGATATTTCATTTCCATTTGGATTTTTTCATTTTTTTTTTTTTGGCTCCTCTAGTTTGTGGTTGTTCTTTATATTGTCTCCCATTGTTATGTTTACATTTTTTCACTTTTGAGTTTTTTTCATCATTGTGATTCCCTTTTTTAATATGACTGTGGGGGCCATCTGCTTTGGTTGTTATTACAGTTCAGGTTCTTGGAATTTTTTCTTTATAGTTTATTATTCATTTTTTTGTGTTTTCTCACTTGTAACTGCTTATTAGGGTTAGTATCACTTGTGAGTCTAGTTGAGTTCATTTAGTTCATGTTTTCTGTTGGTGATGTGAGCTTTGTCCATTTTGTGTTTTGATTTCTGTTCATTTCATTTCTGTTGGTTTCATTTTTGTTTGTGCTCAAGGAGTCAGAGCCGGGAGAGCTGATCTGTGTCAGCTGCTGGTTCGCAGTCTCCCAGACGTCAGCCCTGCTTGACCCTTCCTGGGAGAGCCCTGGAGAGGGAGAGGAATCCGGAGGAAGAATCGGATCCTGCTGCTGTCGTTTTGGTCAAATTTTTCTTTTTCCATTTTGATGAATTTGTTTTTTCTATTTTATTTTGTTTCCTGCCACCATTCCTATTCATTTTGTGTTTTCACATTTAACATTTTATTCCACAGAGCAGTCTCCGTGGTTGGTCTGGTGTAGTTGATACAGGTCATGTTTTCTGTTGGTGATGGGAGCAGAGTGAGTTTGTTCATTTTTGGTTTCTGATTTTTGTTAATTTGATTTCTGTTGTTTCATTTTCATTTGTGCACCACTCGTCTCCCTCCCTGGGAGCCCCGGGAGATGGAGAAGAATCCCGAGGCCAGAATCACATCCTGGATGGGGACTTCATGGGGCGGGGACTGACTGCCGGTCCCCCAGCCCTCTGTGTCCCCAGTGGCTCCCGCGTCCCTCAGCAGAGCGGGGCAGGAGGTGTCATGGCGGCTCCTGGGGCCCGAGCTGAGAAGGCTGTCAGGTGGGACAGGGGCTGTCTGCACGGGGGTGGGAGAAAGGGTTGTTACTGCGAGATGGAGCCTGCGGGGGTCTTTCAGCTACGGTGCCTCTGTCTGCAGGGCAGGGGCAGTGGCAGTGCGGGCCCCTCTGTCCTGTGCACAGGGGCTCTGCTGCCCTGTCTGTGGTGGCTGTCCAAGGTTCAACACCCAAGAAGCCCCAAAAACTCGATCTGCACCAGCAAGGAGACTTCCTGTGGAAGGACCTCTTGGTGGTAAGGGACTCACCCACAGTGGGCAGGGTCACCCCAGGCAGCCAGGGTGTCCATTGGCTTCGTGTCTGTGTGCAGTAATGGAGCAGGTGCATGGGAGGGGGTGGGGAATCACACTGATGCCCATGGTCCTCATGGGTCAGGGGAGAGTGCAGAGGGGCTGTGGGCTTCACCCCTGCAGTTTCTGGAGGCTATAGCAGCATCAGCCATACTCCACTTTGCTGTCTGTGCCCCTCAGCAGCGTGGGCACTGGCTGTGTGCAGCTCTGTACTCGGGTCTAAGGAAGGGGAGAGGCCGCAGCAGCTCCCGGTCAGGCCCCATCGCTGCAGCAGCCGGGGGTCCCTCTCCTGAGACTTGGAGCCGAGGTCTCGGCACTGCTCGTCCTTGCCCTGCTGCCCCAGCCCTCGGCCAGGCAGTGTGGCCAGGCGGCTCAGGGCATCCTCACCGCGAAGCCATCCTCAGGACAGACAGACTGCCCCGGGGTTTCCATGGGAGATGCAGCAGCTCTTACCTGGACAAGGTAGCGCAGACCCTGGGCAGGTGGAGGTGGGGCTGCCAGGTGCAGGAGGACCGTGTCCTGGGCGTTTCTGTCCTTCCTGCAGGCCATGGCTCCTGTGCCGGAGGCCCCTGGATGGAGGTGAGTGCATCTGCTCCTCTGAGACTCAGACGTCCGGATCCCGTCCCTCCTGAGAGCCCTGACCTTCGAGTCGGGCCCTTCAGGCCTCGGAGCCTCAATGTGCCCCCCTGGGAGATGGGTGTCTCTGAGGGCCACAGTGGCCCCATGAGTCTTGCATGCAAGGTCCTGCATGGTGCGCGATGGGGGGTGAGCACGTGAGAGAGGGGACCCCTCTGTGGCGGCCGGGCTTGGAGGTCCCTGCCCATGAGCTGTAGACCAGGCCAGCAGCCGGGGCTGTGCTGGGGCCTGGCAGGTGCGCTGGCATCACTACAGCTCTGTGCTGCCAGCACTGCCTCCCCATGTCTGTCCTCGGGGGACCGAGCCCCAGGGTGGGCATCTCCTCTGGCTTGGACGAGGCACCTGCCACCTCCCTGCTGGTCTGTGGGCTTCTTCACCAAAGTGCCCTGGGGTCTCAAAGGGACAGGAACCAGGGACCAGGCCATGGCATGACAGGGCCGTGTTCTCCCCTTGTCAGCTTGTCCCTCTGACCTCTGAAGTGAAAGAGGGTCCTGGGGCCACCAAAGGGTCTACACAGCAGATGCTGCAGCAGAGCTATGTCTCTGGTGACCCACGTCTCCACGATCTTCCACGGGAAGACAGACTCCAAGACTTGCAGCTTCAGAATCCTTGCCTCTGGGGTCATCAAGCGTATAGTGTCCTTCGTCCTCGCTGCCCCAATGACAGGACATCATGGCTTCTCTGGCTGCCCCCAGGTCACCACGATCGTCCACAGGAAGGTGGACTCCAAGATGCCCAGCTTGAGAATGCTAACCTTCCAGAAGAGGTGTTGAAAGGCCCTGGTCCTCGCTGCCCCAAGGACAGGTCCCCATGGCTACTCTGGCTGCCCCAGGTCATCATGATCATCCATTGGAAGACTGATTCCAAGATGCCCAGTTTCAGAATCCTCGCCCTTCCAGAAAAGGGGTTGAATGTCCCTCGTCCTTGCTACCCCACAGCCAGGACCCCATGTCTTCTCTGGCTGCCCCCAGGTCAACAGGATCATCCGTCCACAGGAAGATGGACTCCGAGATGGCCAGCTACAGAATCCTCGCCCTTTCCAAACAGGTGTTGAATGTCCCTCATGCTCGCTGCCCCAAGGACAGGACGCCGTGGCTTCTCTGGCTGCCCCCAGATCACCACCGGGAAATGGACTCCGACACCCAGCTTCAGAATCCTCGCCCTTACAGAAGAGGTGTTGATGTCCCTCGTCCTCGCTGCCCCAAGGACAGGTCCCCATGGCTACTCTGGCTGCCCCCAGGTCACCATGATCATCCATTGGAAGACTGACTCCAAGATGCCCAGTTTCAGAATCCTTGCCCATCCAGAAAAGGTTGATGTCTCTCATCCTCGCTGCCCCAAGGACAGGACCCCGTGGCTTCTCTGGCTGCCCCCAGGTCACCATGATTGTCCATCCACAGGAGATGGAATCGGAGACGCCCAGCTTCAGAATGCTCACCCTTCCAGAAGAGGTGTTGATGTCCCTCGTCCTCACTGCCCAATGGACAGGACCCCGTGGCTGCTCTGTCCCCGGGGAGCAGCTGCTGCCTGGGAAGAACTTCGTTGCCTCTGTTGGTGCCCATGGATTGCCCTGCTCTACTGCCTCTGGGCCTGCAATGAACAGATTCATGAGTTTAACAGAAACCAGTTAGGTGAATAAATGGTGGATGGAGAATCATGAAGGACTCAGTGTGGGTTCGGGCACCTGTGCTCACACACGGGGAGCAGAGCGCTGGAGCCGGGAGGAGGCAGCTTGCAGCCACGCCCGGGGCCTGGGCTGAGTCCCAGCTCAAGTGCCCGCGCCTGCCACTGCCTTGGTTTCCCACCCACTGGGGCTCTGTTTCTGGCTCTCTCAAGGGGGTGTGAGTGACAGGAGCACCTGCCTCCAAGGAAGCCCCCGGAACAGCACCAGACTCCTCTGGCTGCTGGGTAGGGCTGGTTTCCTAGAGGCGATTGGCTGCCTGGGCGGGGTTCTGGGAGCTGTCAGTGTCTGTGTGTCCTGGGCTTGGGGAAGGGAGGGCCGCGATGAAGCTACACAGGCTGCAGGCTGCCTAGACTTCCCAACAATGCTTTGGCAACACGACCACACTTTATACAAGACCCTGAGGTTCAGAGCTGAGCAGTGATCCTCCCAAAGCACCGCAGCCAGTGCCTGCCAGACACGCCAGCCTGTGCCCTCCCCACCACACCAGTGCCACACCCCACAGGACACGCCAGCCTGCACCCTCCCTACCACACCAGTGTTTCACACAGACATGACCCCAGGGAGCTCAGCCAACTGCCCACAGTGTGAGCCTGGGGCTTCGGCAGTGCCTCTCCTCTTTTCCCACCTGGTCTTCGGACCCAGGGCAGGTGGAGCAGCAGAGAGACGGACAAGGCACAGCCAAGTGACCGCACACTGCACTCAAGCATCCCGACTTATGGAGCCTCTCCTTACAGACCACAGAGGACACAGGTACAAACAGCCAGTGAGGCCGTGGGTGGCCAGGGGGCACGGGGGTATCCCAGCCCAGTGGGGATTTCTGGTGTGGAGAGGGGGTGCTGGGGCAAATGCTTCCCAGAGGAGACACCGAGCAGGGGCCAGGAGACGACAGGCACCGAGTGGATGACACTGGCACGAGACTCCTGCAGGGCAGTACAAGCCGCTAAGCCAGAGATTTTCAATTAGGAATCACCAAAGGTAGGGGTGGGGCCAGGGGAGCAGAAAGGAGGGCTGTGAATTCCAGAGATTTTCAATTAGGAATCACCAAAGGCAGGGGTGGGGCCAGGGGAGCAGAAAGGAGGGCTGGGAATTCCAAAGCTCTCCAAAGGTTCAAGTTCAGTTGTTCCTGAATGCGTGGTTGTGTGCCACTTGGATGAATAAAACACACAGCGGAAGTTGAATCCATGCTCACTTGTTATGTAACTTACTGCAGGGTCTCAAAGCAGAGACTGGGCAGGCAGGGTTGTACACAGCAGGTAGTCAGGGAGTGCAAAGACTGGCACACGACTCCTCTGAACTTCTAGGAAGGCCAGCACTGACTCCCAGCACTCTAGCGAGGGGCTGGGAACCTCTGGGGCGTGGTGCCGGCCCCAGCTGGCTGCCAGCACTGCTCGGGTTGGAGGACGGAAGGCCTGAGCTCCTTGTCCCTGCCTGCAGAGGGAGGCGCACTCGGGTGCCAGCCTCTGCACTTCAGCTCGGAGGCCTCTCCTCCAGCCTCCTCAACACCTCGTGCTTTATCACTTTCACTGCCACACAAGGGTTTCCTTCTACCATTTTCAGAGCTAAATTCTCGACCCAATTTCCCCCAAAGCGATATTCAGCCTATTCTTTCAACAGCCCCTGTCAGCCCCCGTGTTTCTGGCTGTGGATCAAATCTTCTGACGACTCCAAGGGAAGACGCCCTAACTCCAACCTTGTATCGCCCAATCAATCTTTTTTTTTTGACAGGCAGAGTTAGAGAGACAGAAAGGTCTTCCTTTTCTGTTGGTTCACCCCCCAAATGACCACTGTGGCTGGTGCGCTGTGCCGATCTGGAGCCAGGAGCCAGGTGCTTCCTCCTCGTCTCCCATGCGAGTGCAGGGCCCAAGCACTTGGGCCATCCTGCACTGCCTTCCCAGGCCACAGCAGAGAGCTGAACTGGAAAAGCAGCCGGGACAGAACCCGGGCCCCAACCGGGATTAGAACCTGGGGTGCCAGTGCCGCAGGCAGAGGATTAGCCTAGTGAGCCATGGCGCTGGCCCCGATTAACCTTTT